TCTCTTCTCTTCTCTTCTCTTCTCTTCTCTTCTCTTCTCTTCTCTTCTCTTCTCTTCTCTCTCTCTCTCTCTTTCTCTCTGCCCCTCTCCTCCCTCTTTCTCTCTGTGGTCGCAAGACACGTGTCATCTGATGCCTTGTACCAAGTATCCTCTTCTTAATCGATCTTACTTTTTCACACCATATCCTTCCATAGATCATATAAAATTCACCAACTACTCACCGACTATCTTTTACAACTACCATCCTCAGAGCTGCTTGAAAAACATATTTTTCGCTCTCGGGCCAACCGCCGTCTAGTTTCATTGTGTGTGAGTGCTGCAACGCTGAGGAAATGGAAACGCATACTACAAAAAAATCTTGAAATTTTGTGTGAATTTGCTCAATTGCATGGAAGAGGACTATGAAGTTCAAGCAAAGTCTTGGCCGGCTGTGCTCCAATTTCTAGTACTCTTCGAGAATCTTCCCAGAGGAGTAAACCTCCTCCCAGATGCCCATTTTGTGACGCAGCATCTTGACATTTTGCAGCACACGGCTCTTCAGGAACTACGAGATTTGAAGTCACAGGCACTTCAGGTTGTGATCGCAGAGAGGGATGTTGTATTATGGTTGAAGCACACTCTTGCTGTGAAGCTGGATCAGAGCTCAGATGGCTTCTCATGGGTTCTGCGTTGCTTCCATTCGCTTAGCGCATCCAACTTCATGTCTTCCTTGCAGCAAGAGGTCTTGACGCCAATCCACGTAATTTTGAGTGATATTTTGTCCCAAGCGGCTATGGGCAACGTGTCGCATGAAATGGACAAGATTTGTGAAGATGTAAAGGGCCAGAGTAGTGACCTTGCGTTCTTCTATTCCGTTGCAAATGCCAAAAGGCGAAGTGCCAAGCCAGTCCCCTCGTCCATTTCAGGCTGCTGGCTTCAGAGGAACTACCAAAGTTTGGAGCACTACGTTTCCACAGAATCCGATTACCGAAGGCTTCAAGAAAAGTCTTTCGGATTCTTCCAGCGCCCTGCGAGTTTGCCAGCCCCGATGAATCTCATGGTTTCGATCGCCAGTACAATGATCCTTCACTCAGTTGCGCTGGCATGCGCATGTGGACTTTTGTATTAGCTGGCGCCTTGAGGCATTTCAATTTGGAGTGTGTGTAGGAAAAATGTCGATGCTGTTGCATGTTGCCACCAGCTTTCGAAGACCTAAATACAGCAAGCTGTTCTGTGAAGTAAAACCCTGAAGTGTGCAAGACGTTAGGAGCCAGTTTGTAGCAGGATAGGTCTCCGTTCGAGTCTAACCCACAGTGCTCAGGTTGGGAGAGGGATGTCGCGGAGCATGCAGATGGCTGAGACAGTGTTGCAGGTGGGATGCCCCAGAAAGCCAGACTTGGAACACAAATGAACACAATCTCATGCGGACTTCCAAAGGGATTCCAAAAAACAATGGGGTTTCAGACAGTTGCTAGCAGAAACTGCTTTGTGACTCCAGTCATGTTGCCAACAGCACTACAGCGTTGTATCATTGACACGGCAGTGTGTTGTTGATCAGAGCAGCACAGGCGTGCTTTGAAGCTGACCAGGAAGGTCTACTGTACAAGAACCGAATGTCACCTGGCATGATACCAATTGGGCAAGAGCATGTTGTGATGTTCAATCCCGCATAATGTGTATGAGTCTGCAATTCAGCGGTTGGTGAGGCAGTAAGGACGGATTGTATGCAAAGGATTCCTGTAGAGAAGTCGAGTGTACTGGAGTGAATGTGGCGAGGAGGGTACAGGGGATTCGCAACACACAAGCTTGGGCTGGACTGCATGCTTTGGAGCTAGTGCGAGCATCCTTCCAGTTCTGCATTCAATGCATTCCTGAGGCTGCAGATCTGATGAGCGCTGAGCCGCCCTGTCGAAACATTGGGCACTGAGCAGGTTTCACCGCATGTTCAGGCCATGGCCATTGCATTTATGCACGTCTCAATTGAGGGAAACGTCGGGAAAAGTCAATGCCAAGGAATCAATTGGTCATTCCAACGTGTGGCTCAACTCACTTTGAGGTTGCACGGCACTGCCAACAAAAGTTTGAAAGCAAACCACAACCCCGCACCCGCGTTGTGTCTGAGTCTCTTGGGCCTCACGACACATTGTTGTCCGTGACCTTGGAATATATGAACGATTCGAAGAGTCTCTTCATGCAAACAAAAGTAGTTACGTTGCAAATGAGGGGTTTGCAAAGTCAACTTGTCAATTGCTGCATCTTGCTCTCAAAGTTCTCACAGAGACAAGCAGTTGAAAACACATGTATACGTGCTGTCACATGATGTGATTCTAACATGCCAACACTGGGAACTTTACCCAAAACGAAATTCATGGACCAACTGGAATGTGGAAACTTTCAGACTGCTTGGTTGTCCTGCTTTGGCAGGAATACATTTTTTGTGGCGTTTTAGTCAGCTATGGATCGTATTACTGCGCCAAGCGTCACTCAAAAAGTGACATCGCCGCCCGGTTCTCCCACGATGCTTGGAAGCAGGCAGTTGCAAACATTCTCGAGTCAACCGCAGTAGTGTAGTCTAGTCCGCAATCACTTACTAGCTTCGGTGCTTTGAATCAGGACAAAGTTTGTTGGAATCACATTAGATATCATCTAATGGCTGCGAATCCTTGTTGCATCCTTTGATTCAGTGACAAGGTGGTGCAGATATGTGCAGATGTGCGAAACGAATTTCAATGATGGCAGTGGGCTGAACCAAGGTCATGGTTGAAGTCTGACACTGGTCCCATGTTTCCCAAAGACAGGGCTGGTGCCATTCGCGGAGAACGGTCAGGGCCGCAGGGGTCTTGCACTGAAAGATGTCAAGACTGGTAGGAAGTGTGTCTGTGTGGACGTATGTCACAAAAGTTCCAGAAAGGTTGACCTCTATGTAAACCCTTGTAGTTGGAGCCCGACCCATAGACGTCCGTGGTGTTTTAAGCATTTTTTGGCAATTTTTCGTTTTTTGATGGTCTTTCATGTCAACTAGCACACAGACGTCATGCTACGTTATGGTTATCTTGGGGTGGGGTTGGGTGGGGTGGGGTGGGGCAATGACGTTCATGTCAACTTGCATACACACGTCATGCTACGTTATTGTTATGTTCTCTTGCACTTGCACACACACACACACACACGTCATGCTACGCTATGGTTATCTTGGGGTGGGGTTGGGTGGGGTGGGGTGGGGCAATGACGTTCATGTCAACTTGCACACACACTGTGGGATATATAGATTCGAGCGTAGTGAGGAGAAGTAAAAGAGCACCACCAATTCCTGAATGAATGGCCTGAAATGAATCAAAGGACAAAAGGCACAAATGTCGAAGTTGAAATTAAATTGATTTTGTAAATGAATTTGACTATGAATTCCGGTTCTCAGCTTAGCCGGATGCTATATCAAAGTTACCTAGTTCCGGTTCTCAGCTTAGCCGGTTGCTATCCTCTGATGCAGGTACGCTGGGTTGATCAGACCCAGTATCCCATGATTGTGGTAGCTTCGTTGAGTGCGGTCCCACAATCATGCCGCACTCCCCTGCCAAATCAATATTTAGACTGCATGTTATTAGCAGTGTACACACACACGGCCTCTCAATATGAGAGGCAAATCAGTAAGAAGCGCAGCAAAACTCTTTTTATCGACACCACTGCATCAAAGATTGTACGGGTTGGTCCTTCCAAAGACTACGAAGAAAACGATGGGTTAAACATATATTCGCATCAGTGAAAAATTCAGGAATTCGTTGATACATAAGGCCCAGAAAATCCTGCACCTGGTCCAACTGAATTTTGGCTGGAAAAACATGAGAACGAATGAGGCGCAGACGAGCACAAAGTCCACTCAGGATGGCACGAGAAGCAAACTGGGATCCCATACTGGCACCCCGACATTGTCGAAATACTTGGCTCCCGACCGTGAAATACGAATGATCCAACAAATATTGCACCAATCTAGGAATATCACGCAAAGTAATAGTCATATATTGTTTCGTCTTTTCTCTCCAAGATCCTTGAAAAACACGAGGAATCCGTTCCAAACGAACAACATGTGATTGCATAACAGTATCTAATCCTTGTTCACACTGAGAAGCAAAGGTGAATATAGCAAACTGTATGGCGAACAAATTACGATCATATTAAACTTGATTGTAAAAGCCAGCGATATCTGTTTGACGCAAGGAAAGGGCAGTTTCTGCAAAATCCTCCATAGAAAATAATGCACTGATACCAGTAATGACATCTTGAACATGTGCAAATTCCAAAATAGATCCAAAAACCGCATTGAGGATGGCAATCAAAATAGTGAATGAAGCACTTCCCAATTTCCGAGACCAGGCGGTAGTAAAATGTACCCCTTACTCAATGTAGAGCGTTTGAAATCAATCCCCCAGGAATACTGAGAGCGTAACAGATCAGGAGGTTGTTGTTCAAGGTTGCGAAGAACTTGTCCCGCAGGTGGAGCGCAACGTTCGAAAATTGCTGCATCTAAGAAAGTCTTTTGTAATAGTTCATGCCATTGACAAGGACAATGTACTGTAAGAGAGTAAGGAAAATGATCTGATGGAGAAATGATCCAATGACGAAGCAAATTCAAATCACGTCTGACTGCTGGCAAAGTCCAAACAGAGGCAGAGTCATGATCCTGATGAAATCGTTCCCATTCTTGAGTTAAGAAATATTGAACGTGATTGGCATTGCACATGCAGTGGAAAGAGAAAGGTTCATTCATAGTGCGACACAAACGCCATAAAAGAAAACAAAATTCAGTGTCGGCTTGCACTGTCAGAAGAAATCGTGAGCAATCAAATTTCTGTCTAGACGAGTCAGAACCCAAATGGTACAAAATGTGAAAATCTGCACATGGTTGTGTAATCGTTGAGATAAAATCTTACCTGTGTCTTTTGTGCACGATGACGATATCGACGTAATAATTTATTTGCTGTAGTGAGGCTTCCATCATAAGAACCCTGGCACCCCGACGTAATCGAAATACTTGGCTCCCGACCGTGAAATACGAATGATCCAACAAATATTGCACCAAGCTAGGAATATCACGCAAAGTAATAGTCATATATTGTTTCGTCTTTTCTCTCGAAGAATCCGTTCCAAACGAACAACATGTGATTGCATAACAGTATCTAATTCTTGTTCACACTGAGAAGCAAAGGTGAATACAGCGAACTGTATGGCCAACAAAATACGATCATGTTCAACTTGATTGTAAAAGCCAGCGATATCTGTTTGATGCAAGGAAAAGGCAGTTTCTGCAAAATCCTCCAAAGAAATTAATGCACTGATACCAGTAATGACATCTTAAACATGTGCAAATTCCAAACTAGATCCAAAAACCGCATTGAGGATGCAACCCGAATGCATCAAGTGATCTACGGAACGACACTGAAACAGCCATCGGAGAAAACTCTTTAAATCTTGGGACTTCTTGGTTGTAAACAGATCAGGACGTCAAGAGTGCGTCAAGCCTAACAAATCTTAATTGTCCACATATCGATGATGCAACGAACGATCCCAAGTGAAGGGTGAAAAAGAGAGATGATAGTTCCATTCACGTTGTAAAGCCACGGCTGAACGAAATACAGGTGCAAACTGAGATCCCATACTGGCTCCCCGACATTGTCGAAATACTTGGCTCTCGACCGTAAAATAGGAATTATCCAGCAAGTATTGAACAATAGCAGGAATGTGTCTCAATGTAACAGAAAAGTATTGTTTTGAGATAACGTTCCAACTTGTGAATGTGAGCCTGCAGGACAGTGTCTAAACCTTATTCGGTTTTCTGTGCATACGTGTACACGACAAACACAATGACATCAAAATTCCGGAAAGTTGTACTTGATATAAACCAGCAATGTCTGCTTCGTGCAAGCAATGCGCAGACTCCGCGAAGGACTCCATAGTAAACAATCGACGAATTCCTTCAATAACAGCTCGTACATCAGGAAATTCCAAAATGGACCGAAAGACAGTGTTCAAAATTTTCGATCAAAAGAGTAGAAATTACACTGCCCAATTTCCTAGCCCATGCTGTTGAATAATGCACAATTGGTCGAGCTTTTGCAAAATCACGGGTAGATTTAGGTAAAATATATCCTTTGCTCAATGTCGAATTGCGAAAACCTAATCCCCAGGAATAAGTTTGTTGAAGAGCGGGGATGACTGGAGGTTCCACACGTGTTGAAGGCGAAGGTGTAGCCTTGTCCCGAGCCAAAGTTGCCGCAGCTGCCTTGGTAGAGTCGTCCTGAGTGGTTCCTGGGTAAGAGGCAGCACAGACATTTTTTTTTATCATAGCATGAATTGTTATATCTAGCAAGAATCTACGAAATGAAAGTAGCTACTCCATGGATAGTCGAAAGGTGGGATCGAAAGGCCCACCGAGAGTCTGATCCATGCACGACATCATAGAAATAGGCTAACAATTGGTCTGCATAAACTCCACCTTGTGGGTTCCGAATATGTGCTTGACGTGCAAAAGCACGACCAACAATGCAAATAGGTCGAGCAGTGTTAAGGCCACCAAATTTCTTGGTCTGTTCCAAAATTCTCAGCACATGTTTCCTAGAAAAGGAGGAATCATCATTGAACAAAACTCCCCGAGAATAGAAAGTATTGGGAGTCAGCCAGTCTGGGCTCCGCACATCGCATGATGATGGTCGAACTACCCCTTCTCGCACAGCTGAAACCATTCCCAATGCTGATGTATTGTGACCAAATCCAAAGTACTGAAAAATATCAAAATTGTCTGCACGCCACTGCGGGGAGTGCCAAGTGCGCATAGACCGCAATAGGCTCTTGCTTGGAATTGAAAATAATTTCAAATTTCTCAACCAATGACACATTGTTGCTGTGACGTCCCAAAGCAGTAATCAGAAAACGGAGAGATGTCAAAACTGAATCACGCAACACAGGGTTACGCAGTTGTGCAGAAAATCGAGTCTTCAAGTCAGTCGAAATGTAATCATACCAAAATTGAGTATGATCCACTGCATCTTCATGAATAATGTAGCCACGAGATGAATTGAAATATTCAGCATTAGGTATCCATTGTTGACGTCTTGTATCTTCGATCAGCATTCCATCTTCAAAGGCGTTTTTCACGCGAAATGGATTATCAGCAATTGATTTGTGGATACAGAGCATCTGTTGATACAGAAAAAGAATGTCGATCGTCTTGAACAAGTCATTTGTACCCACTAACAATTCAGATGAAAAGTTTCAGATTGCTTGACATGATGGTAAAGACCATAGCGCGGAATCTGAACTGAGTTTGCAACACTCTGTGGTTCATGAAGAGGATCTGATTGGGGATCAAGACGACGACGTTTGGGCGCCGGACCACTTGAAGCACGCATTAAAGGTCCCGGGCCAGTTGGTAGAACAGCAAATTGCCCCATAGGTCCCGGACTACTTCCAGGTAGGCCATGAAGAGGATCACACAAGGTCCCCGACGATCCCAATGTTGATTGGACAAAAGTGAACGGCTGGGTAACCAAATTGCCCACACCAGGTACTAAAGAAGACATCGAGGACATGAATGTATTGTATTGAAAAGCCAATGGCAACATCATTTGTTGCATAAAATGCACTTGTTGAGTCTGAATTTGTTGCAGCTCAATGATCTGACTTTGCATCGTTGCCATTCGTTCCAATGAACGAGCATGTTCTTGTTGAATACGTAACATTGAAGACATAGAAGATTCAGTAATACGTGAATTGGCCAACTGCTGCGAAACACTGTTGGGAATCACTCCCGGAGGAATCGGCACATTCAGGGGAGGTCCCGATGATTTCGCAAAAGTTCGTACATCCATGGCTCGAAACTACGGCTCTAAAGTGATAAGTAAAATTAGATCATCTCATAAAAACCCAATCACTGAGGATGGGACCACATGTACTGGAAGTAGAGCGCATTCAGAATACTTCGTCATATGACTACTTCTCCCTTGTGGGTACTTCGCCCATTGGGCACACTTCGCCTTATGGCTTCCAAATTGTGTTGGACGAACTTCAATGTCGGCTCTGACATTTACTTCTTTGTTTGCATGCAATATGCAAAGGGGACTTCAGGATGTTGGCGACATCCCACTCTGCAGCCGGGAAAATGCCCGGTCATAACTTTCATATCCGTCGAAACGGACAGACGGTACTACCAAGTGAGGTAAAGTACCCAAAACACACTGTGGGATATATAGATTCGAGCGTAGTGAGGAGAAGTAAAAGAGCACCACCAATTCCTGAATGAATGGCCTGAAATGAATCAAAGGACAAAAGGCACAAATGTCGAAGTTGAAATTAAATTGATTTTGTAAATGAATTTGACTATGAATTCCGGTTCTCAGCTTAGCCGGATGCTATATCAAAGTTACCTAGTTCCGGTTCTCAGCTTAGCCGGTTGCTATCCTCTGATGCAGGTACGCTGGGTTGATCAGACCCAGTATCCCATGATTGTGGTAGCTTCGTTGAGTGCGGTCCCACAATCATGCCGCACTCCCCTGCCAAATCAATATTTAGACTGCATGTTATTAGCAGTGTACACACACACA